CTGTTGTTCTCGGGGCCGGCCCGTGGCTGGTGGCGCAGCGCCCCCCAGCGGCCGCGCCCGGCTCGCCCTGAGGGCCTCGGGGAGCTTCCGGCCATGAGAACAACAGCGTGCGGCCTCCGCACCGCAACCAGCGCGTCAAATATCCGAACGTAAATATCAGCTGTAATGCACGGTTTGTGTGTGTGTATCGAGAAACTGGGCGTACTGAGAGGTTGAAAACGTGACTCTTGCCGGGGAGAAACAGGCACCTTTAAGCAAAGTCGGCGGTGTGTGTTGATGGTGGAAAATACATTAATCTGATAAAACTATGACCAGTTTTCTCTCTCTTTTGTTATGAAAAGCCATGATTTACTACAGGAATATGAAATTTAGCGTAGTGCAGAAAATCAAATAATGAGACTGCAGGATAAGTTCTTTTAAAATCTGTTGACTTTATTATGTTTTAACCTCTATAAAATAAACTTTCCCTTAATCTGTAAACCACATCACATATCAGATGGTAACTCTAGTTATTACCCAAACTCAGTATAGGGGAGCTCAAAGGGAACCATGCAGAAAAAAATGGGGAAAATTAAAAGATGTGAAGACATCCCGCCATGCCCCTGCTGAACATTTAAAGGCTAAATTCTCTTTGTAAATGCCAATCTTTTGAGGAGAATTGCATTACCCCTGTGATTTACTTAGTGTCTGCAGGGTGCTGCACATGAGCTACATCGATTGGTCAACTGCCAATCACTACTTTATTACTGCACAAATAATTTAAATAATTTAAATTTATTTAAATAAATGAAGTTGGCTTTTGGTGTTTATTCCTCTGTAGAAACTAAAATGATTTTTTTTTTTCTACTGCAGGGGATGTTTTCGGGCTGGCTTCTACAAAGAAGGATGTCACAGTGGGTGGAGTTTTTTTCTTGTTGGTCATGGTTTTTTAATTAGTTCCTATAATGCATTCTAAATATATCTGCTATAACTCAAGATAGCTTTAAAAAATAAATTCCATTTTAGGGAGTGAATTGTTAAGCAACATAAATAATACTTTAAGTGGCAGTAGGCTTACAAATCACTTTTTGAATTCTCAGTCCTCATACATCACAGGTTGCTACAGTTATGGAACAGGCAAAAGGTTGAGAATAAGCAAGAAAAGGTGCTAGTAAATACAAAATACACTACATTTTGTATAGAAACACAGGCTGAAGAATTCTGGGAAACCAAATAGGAGGAAAATAAACATAACAGATAATTTTAAAAGCAAATAAAGAATAATCCCATTGCTACTGACAATAGGGCACTGTCAGCTCTTCCAACATGCTCTAGAAATCATGTGGAGAACGCCCATGTAAAGTGACAGTCATCATCAGTAGAACAACCTCCAATCTACCATGTACAGAGAGTCATCCAAGCACAAGCATTAATTCATTTGGTTTTCCTCAAGGAATTGAAAATAAGTGTTCCTGTTTATGTCATAAAAATGTTTTTTTGCCCACTTTGCATGATTTGATTATCTTACTGCTTAGGAGCTGGGGCTCAGGCTGCTGACTGTGGTTCCACTCCAGCATGAGTGGGAGGCTCTTGGTCACGTTAACCATTCCTCCCTCTGCACTTGGAGGCAGCTCTGAGATCACATCTGCAAATTGTTCAGATAAGTGACTTTGGTTACACATAAAATACTGTCCTCCAACTGTCCAGTTCTGGAATTTGTATGTGGTTAGTGTGATAAATGTTATATGATCTTATATATACACACACCAGACAAAGGATAATCATAGGGTCAATGAAAAATAATAGTGAGAAATAGATATTGGATGATAGCAAACAGAACATTTGTTGAGCGGCTCATTTGTAGCTGTCTACAGAAAGGAAAGGGAGGGTGAGAGTCTCCTGTGTGTTACAGATAACAGCAGTATCAGCTTTAAAAACTCTAGATGCACTAAAATCAAACAGAGCCTGAAGTCCAGATAATGTACGTTTTTAGGAAAGGCACATCTGCAATCCTTTCACTGACATTTTCTAGAAGATCACAAGAGTCAAGAAGAGATTCCTGGAGATTAAGAAGTAGCAGATTTGAATCTCACGTTTTAAAGAGGGCAAAGGACAGGAAACTGTAAACTAGCAAATGGAACATTG